ATAGTAAAGGTGCCATCTATGAGCCAGAAAGCGGCCCTCACCAAACACCAAATCTGCTGGCCTTGATCTTGGACTTTCCAGACTCCAGAAACATGAGAAGTAAATTTCTGTTGTTTGTAAGTTATCCAGTCTATGGTATTTTGTTATAGCAGCCCAAACAGACTGTAATCCCAATGCTTTGGGAGGCCAGGGCAGAAGAATCACTTAAAATCAGGAATCCAAAACCAGCCTGGGCAACATAGCAAGACCCTGTCTCTACAGAAATGTATATATTTTTAATTAGCCAGGTGGCATGTGCCTGTAGTTTCAGCTAGTTAGAAGAATGAGACAGGGTAATTTCTTAAGGAGGTAGGGCCTTTGAGAGGTAACTAGGTAATAAGTGATCTGTCTTTATGAATGAGATTAGTGTCTTTATTGAAAAAAAAGAAGAAAAATGGAGAGCTAGCTAGGATAGCTAGAAGGATAGATAATTCAATCCTATTCTACTCCTTAAGGATTAGAGAATTTCATGAACACATATATGTTTTAAAATAGTTAATGGCAGATTCACTCATAATTCTCTATTAAATTACCTGAGACTCCCTGAATATACATAATCAACAACATAATGTATTTCCCATTTGAAACACTTATTGATGACTTCATTAGAAGCAGACCTTATCTGTAAGTCTGATCCAAAAGAAAAATATTAATGAATTGTTCTTAACAAGACCTAATGCTTCAAAACTGTATCACGTCCACTGATATGGTACAATATTCCAAAAAAATTTACATGGGGTTGAAATTTCTTTCATTTGTAGCTTTTAGCTAAGGCATGGATAAGAAGAAGAAAGAATTCTCCAGAGTGAAGCAATAGGAGTAGAAGTGATCATGTCTTACTATTCCTTTTTAACCTATACTGTGAAGAAAGAAAGAATGAAAGGAAGAGAGAAATGGAGAAAGAAAGAGAGGAGGAAGAAAGGAAGAAAGGAGGGAAGGGAAGAAGGAAGGGAGAGAGGCAGGAGAAGGAGAGAGGGAGGAGGTGGAGTGAGGGAGGAAGGGAAAAAAGAGTAAGAGAAAGGAAGGAGTCTAAATTTGCAAAAATTCAACAACTTGAGATTTAAATATATTTAAAAACTGGAATCATTAATCAAACCAGCTTGAGCTACAATATTTAGAAAGTTTTATTTGAAAAATAGAGAAAAGAGTGAAGAATACTACAGATTTCTGACTGCCTAAACTCCATTTTTATTTTTCACAAATCCATGTCTGGACTGGTTTCTTTTAAAACTACTTTCACGTAATTGACCTTGAAACTTTGCCTCTGGGAAAATTAAAGGTCAATGTGTAAAGGAAGGTAATGAAGTAGAGGTAGAAAGTGAATGTGGATGATACCAATGCACATTTTTCTGACTGATCACATTTTTTTAAATTCAGAAATATTCACTTATCATCTACAGATGAGCCATTTTACTTTTCACCCATTCACAGTGACTTTGAAAGGTAAAATTAACTAGATTTGAAAAGCTTTCCATTCCTAATGACATACTCAAAGTTACCACAGTTAAATGAGCTTATTTAATGGTAACTCTAACACATTTGGTCAACCTTTTCTATCAAGCTGTGCTGAAAAATACCCACTTACACAAGTCTCCCACCACCTCATTCCAGTCCTGCAGTGAAGTCTCCAGATTTGTGATAACAGCAATAACACAAAACAGGCTTTACACTGTTGTGAGTAAACAGCAGAATTCCTGAAGAAGCAAACTGTTTACCCATGTGAGGTGAATGAGCTTTTCCAGAAGAGCAGGATTTAGTGCCCTCAAGGAGGCAATTTATTAAATGGAGCCAGAAATTTGTGCTCATTTCACTGGTCTGAATAGAGCAAAGGCATCATCATTAAATAGTTACTTTAGGGCACCAAGGTTTCTGTATCAGGTATTATGTAAACTTTATTCGTACACATGCCCAGTCCTCCCAACCAGGAACCGCAACATGACAATACCTACGAGGCCATTCTGCAGGGTAGTCACATATTTATAGTGAGAGAGGAACAAAGGCCTGTTCTGGAAGTCAGGATATCTTCCTTTGCGTAACCTACTATGGGCAAAACACTTAACAGCGTAACCTACTATGGGCAAAACACTTAACAGCATAACCTACTATGGGCAAAACACTTAACAGCGTAACCTACTATGGGCAAAACACTTAACAGTTCATTCATCTGTGAACATGGCAGTTACACAAGATGATCTCTAAAATCCCCTTCAATTCTAAAATAAAATTATTGATTCATTTTCTTCTCAATGTATTGATTTATGTCTTCCAACTTGTATTAAAAACATTTTTATTTCAGTAATGCCTCTTCCCTACTCAGCTCAAATATATGCATAATTATCTTGAATTGAAACAAGATTTTTTAGAGCAATATTCTTTCCTGTCTCTCCAAATTATATGGAGAAGCCAAAGCAATGCAAAAGTTGTCCTATGGCTGTGGCAAAAATCACTGAACAAATAATTTCTATGCACAAATATAATAGTTGAAGCCAGTTATCTCATTTCTCACCTTCTCTATTTTCCATTCCCAAAATAGATGGTTACTTGTTTATTTGGCAAAGTAGGTGTTAAAAAGTTTCCTGGACATTGAGGGGAAAAAAAGACAAAACAGAGATGCAAAGCAAAACCTGACTATCTGTTTTTAAAAATGTGTAAATCTATTTTGGGAACTTGACTGACTCAGCCATTGGGTGTTTTAGAGGAAAAAAAATGAAGAGGAAGGCCCTGGCACCAGTCAAGTTCAGATAAAATCCAACGTGACAAATTTTAAACTATTATTGGGAAAAAAGGGAGTATACCATATGGAAACTAATCACCAAACATAGAGCTAGTCCCTAATGTTGTATTTCAGAATTCAGGATTCATCTGTATAGAATTCTATACCCTCCTATCCTATGTAAAAGTCTTATACGAACATCTATGTCACATGTGCACTCCAAAAATTTTAACTCACTGATTTCGTTTTGTTAAGATAAAATTTTCAAAATGACGAAGAATGATTATGCTTCACTCCTTGGACATGTTCACAAGCACCCCAAACACAGCTAGGCTAGTAACTCTTTGAACATAAAAGATCTGCATTACTCCTCTTTGTTTTCAAGCATCTAACAGTACATGCAACAGATGATTTACAAAAATGCATTGCATGCATAAGAATAAAGTATTTGATGTGCAATTTCTTTAAAGCAGAGCAAAGATTGAACACTAAGAAAATAAAGTATTTTTAATTTACTCAGTAGTCACTAGTTCCAGGCACATTGCACATTTTACCTTTAATTCTTAAGATTACCCTCTGAGGCATTATCACCCCCATTTCCCGGAAGAGGACATTTCCAAGAAGTGAAGTAAATTGCCCAGCATTATATTGCTACACACAGGTAGCCTGGTCTCAAGCCCTGGCTAGCTAGCAGCAATGCATGGGCTGTCTGCTGCAGCCCAATTTCTCTTCTTAGTCACTGCTCAACCATAAGTTGTCCAACTTACTTGTGACTTTATGAATACTGTTATACAAAGCATGGAGAAAAGTGTGTTTTTGCTTCAGGGCTAGCTAGTATCTTCCAACCAAATCTCGAACTAATAATCAGTTTGTCTCATGCCTGGGTTGTTTTGTTCTCTTTTATAAAAATGTCTTTAAAATCTTCTCTGTCAGAGGAAAAGCTTGCCTGAGAAGATAAACATATATAAGTCCCAAAAAATCAAATAAAACGGCCATTAAATGTCCCACAGGTGACCTCTAAGCTACTCAGAGGAATAATGGAGGGATGAGGGACATTGGGAGAAAGGAAGGACAACTGTCACAGTCTTCCTAATTTAAGTAAGTCCTCAAAACTCAGGTCTTGAACCAGGCCTAATCACTAGAGGTCAGTAGACATATAATTTTCCGTATTAATTAATTCTTTGCCTGTAAGACAAGGCCTTGTGGCAGCCTGGGCTTCTTCCTCAGACTGGTGAGCTGGTGAAGGAGGTCATGGCAGTGCCAAGACCTCTCAGACTGTGACTTGATGAGGCTGGGCCCCACCTTGTCTCACATTTCAAATGCTTGTGTTGCCAAAGTTGAAGAATCAAGTTAGGGCTCCAGGGCTGGCTCCATACCCAGCAGGATGTGGACAGTAGCAGCTCCGGCCTTTGACCATAGTTCAGTCTTCCTATTGTATGTTCCTATATCTCTTGTCATCAGAAATGGGGCCTGATCATTGGAAATGGGGCCTGACTCTTATTGGCTGTACATCCTTCCAAAGGTTAGTGACTTTATCACAACACTTTGGCCATTCACTCCAAAGCATGCCACATATTGGAGTTTGTCATTTACTTCAATTCTTCATTCATGACACCAGAAACTAACATTTAACTTCCTAAAAATAGTAGTTAGAAAATATAAACATCCCTATTACTTGGCCCTCTTTCTTCAGCTTCCAAAAGGAGATGATCATAAATGAAATATGACTAATTTTTAACAATTCACTAAGCCTAAGTCTTATATTTATAGCTGCTCTGCATACAGATGTATAACAAATGTCATATCCAAATTTGTCATAAATATATAATTAAGATGTTTTCCAAGGATTGTGCAAACTGGTCTGCATAAATTACCTCACAGAAAACGTAGGAGGTAGTAATGGGGAAAAAGAAAAGGCTGGGAGAAGTAAGCATGCCCAAAGTTGTGTAGCTATTTAAACAAACTTTACAAATACCATAACGAAATAGATCACTCTCATATCCATTGAGACAAATTAATTGTATCTTCCGAAGTGGCAAGAACTTATTTGAATCATTATTTTTGCTCTAATAATATACTCATCTATATGAAAGCCACATGCTGAATGTGTCATTATATAGTCAAAGGTTTAAGGTTGTAGATTCTAATGAAGGCTATGAAGTATTTGCCCCAGGAAAAAAAAAATGGCCATCCATGCATCGGCCATAGTTGTTTTCACAATTTCAGGGAGCTGGAAGGCCTTCTATACCTTGTCTGTAGACTTGAAGATCCATGTATTTTAGAGGATCATGAGCCCCAGACTTAGAACACTTCCCACAGTACCTTACACTGCTTCCTCTCTTTCACAGGCTTTTGCCCTGCACACTCTTGGTGCTGGAGAAAAAGGCTAATGCTGGAAAAAAAAAAAAAAAAGACATTTTCTATAAGTGTCTTTAAACTTTAAAATCTTTACAGTCTATGAGGCTATAAATATAGTTTACCAGGAAGCTTGTTTTTCCTTTTTATTATCATATTCTTTAAAATGTAAAACTCAGAAAAGACATAACTGACGTGCACTCTCTGATCCATGAACTTTGGTGAGCACTGTGGGAACAGACATATCTATCGGATTGCCTTTGTCTTAACAACACAAAAGGCACTGATAGCTCCAGGAGATCCAGATATGTCTGCAGAGATTGTTTCATGCTGTAGATCTTTAGGGAGGTGTTAAGTGGACATTAGCACTCTTTTTGGAAGAAAAGGACTCTTCTTGCTTGAACACTACTAACATTTAAAAATAACTTAGCAGACCAAAAGGCTATTTAAAATATGTTCCCTTGGTAAGATGTAAAGTTCAGCTGTAAATTTTTAATCTCAGTATGAAATTCACATATTATCTCACTTTATGTTCCCTCCTGAAATGGGCTAAGTTCCAATTTCTTTCTGGGATATGTAGCAGAAATATCTTAAATCCAATCCTCTGTCCCATCCTTTTGTGCTGTATTTTGGGACTTTATAATATCTTACCTGGGTTTTTTAGAATAGCTTCCTGTCTCATAACTCCCTGACTAAGTCAGAGGGTATTGACTGACACTAGCTATTTTCCTAATTATTAAATCTGATCATGTCAACCACTTGCTTTAAAATTCCATTTGGCTCCTATTCCTTCCAGATTTAGATCCAAATTTCTTATTTTAGCTCTCAATTCCCTTCCAATCGATTCCTAGCCTAATATCCCATTGGTAATTCTATCTAAACTCCACTCTGCTTCCATTAAGCCACCAATACTCCTCTAAATTCATTCCAGTTGTACAAAAGTCTTCATCATTTTTAAACACATCAAAACCTGCTAAAAAGATATGGAATCAGCCGGACATGGTGGCTCACGCCTGTAATCCCAGTACTTTGGAAGGCAGAGGCAGATGGATCAAAGTCAGGAGATAGAGACCATACTGGCCAATGTGGTGAAACCTCATTGCTACTAAAAATACAAAAATTAGTTGGGCGTGGTGGTGCATGCCTGTAGTCCCAGCTACTCAGGAGGCTGAGGCAGGAGAATTGCTTGAACTCAGGAGGTGGAGGTTGCATGAGCCAAGATTGCACCACTGCACTCCAGCCTGGTGACAGAGCAAGACTCTGTCTCTACAAAAACAACAAGAAGATACGGAATCAACCTAGACTCCCATCAATGATAGGCTAGATAAAGCAAATGTGGTACATGTACACCATGGAAAACTACACAACCATGAAAAAGAATGAGATCAAATCCTTTACAGCAACATTAATGGAGATGGAGGCCATTATTCTAAACAAACTAACACAGGAACAGTAAGCCAAATACACATGTTCTAACTTATAAGACGTAGCTCAACGTTGAGTCCACATGGACACAAAGAACAACAGACACCTGGGCCCACTTGAGGGAGGGAGGAAGGACAATGAGGATCCAAAAACTACCTATAGGGTACTATGCTTATTACCTCGGTGACAAAATAATCTGTACACCAAACCCCCACAACACACAATGTAGCTATGTAACAAACCTGCACATGTACTCCTGAACCTAAAATAAAACTTAAGCAGTTTTTAATTTAAAAAAGACAAAAACCACATAAATAAAGACTTGCCATAATGAGAAGCATGCTCTTTCTCCTGGGATGATCTTTCTCACCTTCATTAACTGAAGCTGACTACTCAGCTTTTAAGACTCAGTTCCAATGTCATCTCTTCTGAGGAGCCTTTCATGAACTCCTCATATAGTTATCCTACTTTTGTGTTCAATCTCTTTTTTTTTTGTAACTCTATAAATGCTGGTATCAGCCAGGTGTGGTGTCTCATGCCTGTAATACCAGCACTTTGGGAGGCTGAGGCAGGGAAATCACCTGAGGTCAGAAGTTTGAGACCACCCTTATGAACATGGTGAAACCCCATCTCTACTAAAACTATAAAAATTAGCCAGGCATGGTGGCACATACCTATAATCCAGATACTCAGGAGGCTGAAGCAGGAGAATCGCTTGAAACGGGGAGGCAGAGATCACAGTGAGCCAAGATCACGCACTCCAGCCTAGCAACAGAACGAGACTCCATCTCAAAAAAAAAAAAAGCTGGTATCATTGAAAGTTTTATGCATGATAATCTGTCTCACTAGGAAGATTAAGGTCTTCAGGGACAGACATACATCATATTATACTGATGGACCTTGCACCAGGCCAATGGTTGACACAGCTCTTTAGCTCAGAAACTATTTGAATAATCAACAATATAATGGATTTAATGTGAGAGTAAGTTTTTACTGTATTACTAATCAACCCCTAAATTGGATGTAAATAAATTAGAGTAGAAAAATTTAGACATTTCTAAATTAATATTGTTAAAATATTTAAATATATAAGAAAGTTGAATGTATTTGAATCTTGTAGTCTCTAGATAGAGATAAAATATCACATTCTAAATTCCTAGAATTGTTTTCTTATTAAAGAAAGAAAATGATATTTTAGAAAAAGCAGCTTGGAATTTCAGAATCATAAGAACATTTTGAAGTCAATATATTCAAAAGGTAAGAAAGAATCTATGATAGTAATTCATAAAAAAATGAAAAAAATGGGACTTTTCAAATTTTACAGGGATTTGTCCTTGCTGTTACTGGATACAACTCTGGAAATGGGTATTTATTATGGCCTTTTTTCCCAAAAGAAAGCAATTTCTTGTAAAAAGTAACATTGAGTCTGTTTGTGTCTGTCTACCTTTAGTTTGCTCCGAGATTTAGCCCCTAAATCAAGGCTCTGTGGCTGGCTTACATATTCTCCCAAAACATCACCTATCCTCAGTAACCTGTGCCTTATTCTAACTGGTAAGTCTCTGGGATTCTAAACTTTATGGTGCAAGAGTTTTACAATATATAAAAAAGCAAAAACCAGAGAAGTGTTTTTACAATATACTGGAGTGTGAAAAAAGTGATCTGTTACATTTTAGAAAAATGTGGTTTTTCTGTCACATTCTAGAAAATGACTTGAAATACTATGAAAGTTAAGTAGAATAAAATCTTACAAAAAAAAAAGCCTTGGTTTCTGCTGTTTAAATTTAATCAAGGCTTGACCTCCTCTCCATTCTACCACAATTGCACAAGATGCCTTAAGTCTGATTTCTCCATCCTTCTGCATATCCAGGACAACTTCAAATCCCCAGAAAGGCAACTCTCTCTTGTCCTCCTCAATCTCCACCTGCTTATCACTCCCTCTTTCTTTCGCCCTTCCTTCCCTATCCCCAACCCAATAGAAGCCCACAGCTAGCCCATATGGTGATTTCATGTAAGTCAAGCATAAGACAAAGGCAAGACCCTTTATTGTCATGTGCTGGAATATTTTGGCAATAACTGTATAAATATTGATGACTGTGAGATAAATGTTTCTCCAAAATGGTTTAATCTACAAAACTACAAGCAGAAGCCACACACACACACACACACACACACACACACACACACACACACATTCACATCCCTACCAGGACTGCTGGCTTTACAAATATCAATGAATCTGGTGGAATTTCAAAAAAGGAAATTTTTTTTTCTAGATTTCCCTTAAAAATATAGCATTCAACTTATTCCATAAAATCCAGGAACATGACTTAGACATTGTATGTTTTCTATTATGTCTGGTAGCTGCTGAATGAAAGAAAAGTATACTGACAGCTCTGGGAAGAGCCTCCTTCCCTTTGGTTAGGAAGTCGGGCCAAGAAGGAAAGAATTAGGCCAATAGGCAGCACCCCGGTACCACTTTAGAATCCCTGGGAGAAAGAGATCTGGCATGTCTGCCTCCAGTAAAAAGCATTCATGGTTCAAGCCTTCTTAGAAACCTTCAGGCAATCAGTATTTCTCAAGGTAAGTACATTCTGTGATCTGGAGAATGTACTGTGATTCCTAGAATATATCTGGATGAAGACTGGTCACCATACTTCTTTAAAATTACACTAAGAATGAGAAGACATTAGGTGAGTATATGAGAATATAGCCAAGCTCATGACAGAGAAGGGGTTTCTAAGGTAAAGAATAATGGAAAATATTGTGAGGAAGAAAACTACACTTACTATTATATTACTAGCTAGCTAGCTGGATAGATAGACATGTAAACTAAAGTGTGAATTTAGAAATTCATTTAATACTAAGATAATGATTACATATGGTTAATATAAAAAAAACATACAAATAGATACAAAAAGACTAATGCACCAAAAAATTGATATAACAGGTAACTCATTCATTTATTTTTTCATTCAAAACTACTAGAACGTCTCCCATGTGGCAAGCACCACCCTGGGCGTTATAAAGACGTAAATAAATAAAGAAAAGTCTATGACATAGATATTCATTCTTGAGTTAGGAAGACAGAAAATTCAACAACAAAACAAATGTATAATATAATGGTTGAATGTCAGATAATGATGAACTCTATCAAGTACTTTAAATAAATTATCAGGGAAAACCTTTGTTTTTTGAGAGTTTTATACATAGAAGAGCAATGTAATTCCATTTATTTTGTAAAATATTACTCTGGCTCACGTGTGGTAAATGCATTCAAAGAGGGCAGGAGTGAAAACAAGAAGACCTGTTAGATCATCACTACACTACAACAAGTAAAAACTGATGGCTGAGGAGCTATGGGAAATGGCTGGATTCTAAACATTTTCTTTTTTCTTTTTGAGACGGAGTTTCACTCTTGTTACCCAGGCTGGAGTGCAATGGCACGATCTCGGCTCACCGCAACCTCCGCCTCCTGGGTTCAGGCAATTCTCCTGCCTCAGCCTCCTGAGTAGCTGGGATTACAGGCATGCGCCACCATGCCCAGCTAATTTTTTGTATTTTTAGTAGAGATGGAGTTTCACCATGTTGACCAGGATGGTCTCGATCTCTTGACCTTGTGATCCACCCGCCTCGGCCTCCCAAAGTGCTGGGATTACAGGCTTGAGCCACTGCGTGTATCACTGATAGGATTTGTTTCTTGATTCTATGTACTGTATGATAATTTTTAAAAAATTCAAAAATTACTTCCAGGTTTGTATCCTGAATAACTGGTAAATCACAGTCCCAAATATGTTAAGGGGTGGCAATTCTGGGGGGAGAAATCAACATTTGATTTTGAACATATTAAGTTAATGACCCCGGATTGACATCCAAGTGAAGTTGTTGTATAGGCAATTCCATATACAAATCTGGGGGCAAGGTGGAGTTTGTTAAAAGAAGATTTGGGATTTGTCAGCAAATAGATGATATTGAAAGCCAGTGGACATCTAAGATGTCAGCATAGGGGGAGAGGAGGGTCAGAAAGAGAAGGAGCAAAGGGTTCTCTCTTTTGGCTTAATGTTGGTGCCTTAAAAACTGTATATTGAATACAACAGTTTTGCTAATTTGGGTTGCTAATAAATGCATAAATAGAACCCTCAGCCCCTCTATTTGGATTTTACGTGAGCAAGAAACAAACATCTTAACATGTTAAGCCACTTACATTTCGAGGTTTATCTGGTTCTTTAATTGGTGTTATTGTAACTAAAATAGAAATTGGTACCAAGAATGGACACTAACAAAAACCCTAAAACTGGTGTCACTGGCAGAAGATAACTAGGAAACCAATATCAGAGGCCGGAAACATGAAACCCCAAGTTAAGCAGAGGCAAAATGTTCAGTAACAATGATTCCCACGATCTCCTTGGAGGCAGGCCGCTAACTTCCCTAGCCTGTGCTGTAGTAAACGAGATTGTAAAACAGAATTATGTGAGCATGCATTAATTGTTACTAGCTTTATTTAGCAAGACATTAAAAAAAGAAATGACCACAAGAAAGAATTATCCACAATACACATGAAAATGAAAGGGAATAAGAAGGCATCCAGAAATTTTAAGCCTCGAAAGTTGGGAATGCTTAACTCAAACATTAATACATAATTTTTGAAATTGAATAATGAACAGTCTTAAGTTATAATTATGTGACAACATTCAGATTGAGCCAGGCCTTCAACCCAAGCCTCATGGCCTTGGGGTAGAAGTCATTGAGTTGAGAAAGAAATGATGATGAGAAGAAAAAGAAATAATACTATTTTAAGAATTATGTCTAAGAAAGAATTATGGGTCTGGTAACTGGCATATTGAACTGATTGTAAGCAAAGAGACAAAAGTCTATTCGTTGTTATCTATTTTTAAATTTTTTAATTTTATGGATACATAATAGTTATACATGTTTATGGGGCGCATGTGATACTCCGATACAAGTATACAATGTATAATGATCAATGCATAATGGTAATTGGGGGGTATCCATCACCAATTACTACAAACATTTGTCATTTGTTTGTGCTGAAACCATTCCAAATTTATTCTTTTAGTTATTTTGAAATGCGTCATAAATTATTTTTAACTGTAGTAGCCCTATTGTGCTACCAAACACTAGATCCTATTACTTCTGACTGTATATTGTAACTTTATCCCCTGACCCACACTACCTTTCCCAGCCTCTGGTAGCCACCATTCTATTCACTACCTCCATGAGATTTGTTATAGCTCCTATATATAAGTGAGAACATGCAACATTTGTCTTCCTTTCCCTGGAAGAGATGAAAGTCTTATGAATTTTAAAGACAATTATATTGCAAAAAAAAACCATGAGCTATGGCTTAAAAGCTTTTGGCTGAGCCTTGAAGCAAATCTTAGGCCACCCAACTCATACAGGCAGGGGGCAGCAAAACCTCTAGAGACCTTGATGGCCACTGCGGCCATGGCAGATAATAGACAAGCAAAACTTCCCAGATGGCAGAAGCAGAGGCCTGGCAGAACAATGGACGGGAAAATTCCTCCCTGAGAATAGAATCAAGTTCTGGCCATGGCATTTTTCTCACTGACAAGATTTCATACTGGCTGTCCATAGGATTTCATCATTACCACGGACCAGTGACTACTGCATACATTCCAATTTTCTGTTTTCTGCCTGAGGTATTTATTCCAGGTATCCTGTCCTGGTGCCACCACACATGTGGCTGGAGTAGAGGAGGCAGAAAATTTGCAACTAATCTACCAATCTAATAAATAATTGGTAACTTTGCATATTAACAGGCTAGAGTATGAAATATTTTGCAAACATATTGTATGTGTGTGTGTATATGTAACTCTTAAATATATTTTATCTTTAGCTTACTTCCAACAGACACGCAACAGTTTTGCTTTTTAATGCTTCAAATAATATCTAACATTGGGAATTTTTTTTTTTTTTGAGACGGAGTTTCGCTCTTGTTACCCAGGCTGGAGTGCAATGGTGCAATCTCGGCTCATCGCAACCTCCACCTCCTGGGTTCAAGCAATTCTACCGCCTCAGCCTCCTGAGTAGCCGGGATTATAGGCATGCACCACCATGCCCAGCTAATTTTTTGTATTTTTAGTAGAGACGGGGTTTCACCATGTTGACCAGGATGGTCTCGATCTCTTGACCTTGTGATCCACCGCCTTGGCCTCCCAAAGTGCTGGGATTACAGGCTTGAGCCACCGTGCCTGGCCAGGAATTTTTAAAGACAAGATTCTATAGTATTTTCACATCATCCTTGCATGAGCCTTTTATATATATATATAATCACATATATATGATTATATCAAAGTCTCCATTAAAGTGCTCTAGGCAACTTTCATCTTTATCTACCAAAAGAACTTACCAAAGGAACTTCATGCTGCCACTCTGTCTGAATTATATATTTTTTCAGGTCCCACAATATAGTACAAGAAAAAGGAGGTCTGTAGCTAGGGAGATAGCCCACTGTGTTAGTTTTACTTCCTTCCCAAACAGCACATACCCTAAGACAAAGACTTGAGTTCACGCAGTTTATTTGGAAATTGATCCCAAGAAACACTGGTTAGAAAGAGGGGGAGTGAAGTAAAGATGGGAAGGAAGGCAGGAAAAGCTGCTTTGTCAAGCAAGTTGCCACTCAGGTGAATACGGCTTTGTGCCCCTAGGAAACTAAGATGGACGCTCAATGTGGTGCTCCTCCATGTTGGTTCACCCACTGGGACCCACAGACCTCATTTTCTGTGTTTGTAACTGAGGGCTGCTCCTTGATGGCACTCTTTCCCCAGTACTCCCAGACTGCTGCAGGCCCACTGGCCAAGATGCAGTCACCAACAATTGGAAATCAAACCGGATTGTACAAAAATGGTAAGGACCTAGGTAATGTGGGCAGCATGCACTCTATCCACTATGCAATTTGTCAGAAGGACTCATAGATAGAAGCTGCTGAGCTTTAAATATCCCGAACTTCTGTCCCATCAGCATTCCTCGGGGTATTCAGGAAACATTATCAGTTAATATTTCGGATTTATTCCCAGCAGTTTTTGTCTTTCAGTATTTATATGAAAGCATTTTCTCACTATTAAGATATTAGCACTCTAATGGCATGCTTTATGTCCAGAATGAAATCTAATATTCAGCCTCCAAAACAACTTATAACAAAACAACTTTTTTCTAAGCACAGATGAGGCTGTCATCTGCCTACAGTGCAACCAATTCTAAATTTGCACCTATAGTATGTGATATTATCCCACTTGTGCATAAATTACATGCATTTCCAAAGGCGCTAGATATTCCTAATGTCTCTTTATAGTCCATTTACAAATAGTAATACGACTAGAGTAAAAAGAATACAGTTAAGCTGTATTCTGAGTAATATACAATTTAAGCATTCCAAAAATTGCCATAGATCAATTTAAGAGCAGCTAATGTTCCTGCAAATAATCAAGAACTGATTGCATTTATTTAAGTCAATATTGCCTGTTTTAGATAGTAAACTACTATAGGGCAGGGATAATTTTGTTAAATTTGACTAAAGGCTTAGTATCATACCATCCACTTAACAAAAGTTTTTTTTTAACGTAAGTATTAATATTTTGATCCTAACAATGTTCAAAAATTTTTCTGTGGTTTCATTCCTGTCAACAGTATGGATTTGGTTTTTTTAAAGTTCTGGTATAAGCTGGGCATAGTGGCTCACTCCTGTAATCCTAGCATTTTGGGAGGCCTAGGCCAGTGGATCACTTGAGGTCAGGAATTCGAGACCAGCCTGGCCAACATGGCAAAAACCTGTCTCTACTAAAAATATAAAAATTAGTCCACATGGTAGCCAGCACCTGTAATCCTAGCAACTTGGGAGGCTGAGGCATGAGAATATCTTGAACCCAGAAGGCAGAGGCTGCAGTGAGCTGAGATCATGCCACTGCACTCCAGCCTGGGCGCGACAGAGAAAGACTCTGTCTCAAAAAAAAGAAAAAGTTTCGGTATGATCTACCACATAGCTCTACTGAATATCATGCAAGTTGCTCAGAAGTTGTTTGTAAACTAAATTCTGCCTGAATTATTCTGCCAATCCATATTCCAGCTTTAATTTAATTTAGGGGCCAGCAAGCTTTTAACAGAAAAGTTACCCATGGTGGTTATGCATACTGCTCAGTTTGATCACATCCCCTTCTCGTTCAGGCACCTGGTAGAATTCAACTTTCTGGCTCCCTGAAGCTTGCATAGGGCCCTGTCTATCAAAACAATTGGTTATATTCTGAAGAAATGTCTGCTCCATCTCTGAAGTAAGTTCTAGAGTGAGGACACATGGAGTGGAAACACTCCCTAGCGATCCATGCCAGACATTTAGCATGAGTGAGAAGTAGGCCTTTGGGACCATAAGCCACCAAATTTGGGGAGCTGTTTGTTCCTCCAGATCATACACTTCACTCTAGTCGGCTGCAGGAGGCTAGACTCTAAAGAGTCAGTCAATTAGCTCTCTTGCCCTCTGGCTCCAGACTGGGTTCTAATATTAGAGAGACATGGCAGAAGATCAGAGGGAGGGAGGTGAATGAGGCAGGAGTATTTATATTCCCTTAGCTCAAAAGTTCCCATTTCTCTCCATGAAGACCACGGCTCTTGTTAAGTTGGCCCTGCCATCCGAGATTCTCTTTCAAGGTAACACCCCTTCAAGCCTAGGGGTAGAAATAGACCCTGTGTTACTAGTCTCAGATACACTCTATCTCATAGTTCCCCTATTTCCTATCTACATTTTTGTAAGTAGCCCCTTTATTGGCTATTCTTTGAATTACTCTATTGGAATAAGCCATCTGTTTCCTGCTGTAATACTGACTGATATGTTTTTACAGCCTGTACTGTCTGGTTTACTCATTCTATCAATAAAACATGACATTGTACACATAGCGTTCTTCCTGAATGACTGCAGTTTCCTTTACATTCAGCCTTGCCAAAATCAAGGAAGATGCTGAAGATCTAAATTCCACTATCCTCTCAACAGTATTTATACAATAGAAGTCTTTCCCCCAGACAATAATGCCTTTATGTCTGAGAAAGCAATAGCACTCCTAAATTACAAATTGGTTGCTCCTCTGTCCAACCCCAGTCTGTTTTAAAACTGTGGTATTGATTCTTTCTTACTTTATGGAACTTTGAGAAAGCAAGGTCTTTGATATTTTTCCTTCTTCCTCACATTACCTTCCCCCATCTTCCCCTAGGTTGAGTTTATTTTTATTCAGTGTGCTGAAAGGAAAATCTTTATACAAGTAATATTCATAGAGAGTTGATTAGTGATTCCAGGTACTAGACCTTGATAGGCCTGACATATCTTCAGTATCTTAATAAAGCAATTCATTTAGCTAGTTAAGAAATGAACAGATTACTTACCTACTTGGAACCCCAGAAGACTTGTTTCATCTCGCACTTAAGAGTTCAATGACCTCACCTGAAAAAAATCATAAAAGGATCACAGATACATATATTAAAATTTCAAAAAGAGAAACTAGTAAATTATAGATTATTGTCTATGAAATATGCTCAAAAGCATTGTTTAACAAGCCTATATTTAAAATTATTACAAATAAAAGTGATTTTGCCATTAGAGGTAATTTATGTTTTACATACATTTAACCTACCAAATTATCTCCTAGAAGTCCAATCCAAGTTTGTTGGAGACAGATAAACATTCTGTCTCCCTAAAAATTACTGTTTTGTTTTCCTTGCCTGGATAGTGCATTATTATCCTTAATTTCTAACATTTATGTAACATTTCACAATTTCCAATCCTTTTCATATACATTGGTAGTTCTTATCCTTTTGCCATTTGTGGAGTCTTTCAAAGGATCTGATGACAATAATGAACAGTCTCACTGGAATTTTGTGCATGGGTCTATAGGTCTACTACTGTATTCAATGTTGCAGTGTTCATTGACGTCCTAAAATCCATCAAGGGTTACTAACTCCAGTAATCCACAGGTTCATCCTCACATCTCTGTGAGGTAGGTATTGTTATCACCATTTTGAATTAAGAAAATTAATCTGCATAGGGGTTCAATGACTTGTCCAAATCATGTAGGAGAATTTGGTGTTAAACTGAAGCTTTTTGACATGATAACCATGTTTTGCCCTCTGTCTCATGACAGCCTCCTGCTTTTGCTGATGTGAATCAACACCTATATTACACTATTTTATTTCATGAAGGTACAGTCAAAATTTACTAGACGAGAGTCCCAAAACATACAAAATTTTCTAAATACATAAGGCTAAAAATCTCATCTGATCTTCAAATTATAGATCTATTTTGCTTTTAGACTCAGTTAAATCTCTAATCTATAAAAGTCATTCACTCAGAAGCATTTCAAGTTAATCCTATGGTGTCAAAAGAAAATATCTATTCCCAAAACATAGAAAACTCACAGTTGAAATAGCTCTCACTTTTCTCTGTTTTCCTCTCAGTATGCATGTACACCCATCTTGGACTCTGGATCCATGGCCACAGTCCCTGCCTGCCTGGTCTTCCTTCATTTACTTCAACTAAATTCTCAGATTTTCTGACCAAGGATACCCAAAGCCTCTATTTTACTATTAGGTTCAGTCATATGAAACTGTAATAGGCTAGAAAGAGTAGAATATTGTCAGTTTAATATCATTTAGTCTTATTTAGCTTTAGTGCCTTGACCTGTTGATGTTCAAGTCTTACGGGGAAAAGAAGAACATGACTCCAAAAAGACCTGGTTCTAATCCATGGTGCCATTTAGCAGGTCAATTACTTCAAGTAAAACACTTAAACTTTCTGAGTAACAATACCTCATCTGAAAATGAGGACAATACGGTTCACAGTTGTGTCGTAGGACTGTGAGAAAGTATTCCACAAGATAATATCACCTGTGAAAGTACTTCAAAAATTTTTAAAGCACCATACACATTTAGGGTGCTGTTATTATAGTCAGCAAAGATGCTTTCATCAGCAAAACCGGCATTAAATTTTTTAAAAGAACAGTAGGATCATATATGTCCACTAAATTACTCACTGCAAATGTCCAGCCATCACTAGTACCCCTCATATATTGGTGTTGCTTTATTTATACATATTTATTTATATTGCATTGGGATGACTTGTTTGGTCAGCTTTACAGAAGAGCTGATGACCTGGTTCCTACATTGAACATAAGCCAGCAGATGAATCACTTAGAGACACAGTGAAATTGCATAAGGTATTTATCTGCCCACTGAAATCATCATGATGAATTTACTGTCTGGTGTTAAATTACTTCACCATAAAAAACACCGACCTAATGGTCTTAAAAAAATAACTGAAATAAAGAAGGGAAAGTTATTTATAAATTGCATATGTGGGATTTTTAAATGTATTTTTCTAAAATTGTGGTTTTTTCAGAATTTTTAAAATGCACCAGGGCTTATGTTTAACAACTTTTCTGTCCTCTAAAGGTTGAGTAAACAATATTGCAGTGTGACTTTCAACATCAGGGCAAAGCCCTTCGGCAAATAAAGCCAAACTGAATTATATCAATGACTACCAAATGTGCAAGGCAAATATAAACCAACATAAACCATGAGTAAAAATCAAGTGGAGGCAGCAAAGACCTTTCAGCAACTGTTTTCCAGGCTTGCAAAATTCAGCTGGAGAAATTGATATAGAGTAAGTTTACAAAATAATGAATTTCCTAGTATGTGATAGATCATGAAGAAGAACTTAAACTAAAATGCAATTCCTCAGAAAGACCAGTTTTTTTTAATGATTTGACACCTAACTTATGACCCTAAAACCAATAATAATGGCAGTCACTTCAGTAGCCTTTGTAAATATTTCATGGTCAGGTTCTCTTAGGATACAAATCTGCAAGAATTAAAAAGTTTATGAACAAAACAACTCAGGGCATAAATTTCAGATTTTAAATGTGTGTAAAAATAATTTTGACTTTATATTTTTTACAATTAATTTCTGTCTTAAGCCCTTATTCTACACAGTGGTCAAATTTAGGGTTAATCAGTCAGTGCAGTATTTCCTCAGACTATGACTAGCTTGACGATGTTCTCTACTCATTATCCAAGGGCTGTCACCTTAGTTTCAAGGATCTATTTGGTGACACTGAGGTGCCATCCTCAGTGAGGATGGGAGAATGTCATCTTCTCTCCCTGTGATCAGATGATAAAGCATTCACATTTTACCTGTTTCTGGTCATTGGTATCTAACCGTATCGCCATGTGCCCATTCTCATTGGATCTTAGATCATTGCTCCATGGAAGTCACTTTGCATCTTTTAAGACAGCTATGAGGCCCCTTCATGTTCACTCGCTCTCTCTGCTCTATTTATGTGCCTCTGTAAAGAGGAAGTGGAGGGGAAGAATAAAATGTAGAATGTAATATGTTGGTAGATAGAGTTTAGAAAGGACTTCTTCCCTATATAAAGCATAAACCTCATGTTTCTCTCTGCTTTTCTCATAGCGGCCATCCCGAGCTTTACCCACTTGAGTATGGGCTTTGGACTCAGAGAGTCTGCATTCAATCTCAAATTCCACCACTTGGAAAAGTTTCTACTTTTACCTTGGATACTTCATCTACAAAACAAGTATAACAGTATCTCCCTCGTAGGGTTATTGCAAAGATTAAATGAGATAATAAATGTAATAGTAATTAGAACATTGTATGATTATAAGTCATTCAGTAAGTGATATCCACTGTCATTATCTCTCCTCTCTCCATGTGCTCCTTCAGCTTTTCCTACTCATAGTAATGCATCAATATATATGACCCCAGTGAAAAGACAGCAGGGTTAAAACTGAGTTTATAAATAAGTGTACAACACAACTGTTTGTTAGGAGAAGACATTTTTACAAGATGCCATGTGTTGGTCTCAACCCTTGCATACATGAGTGTGTGGCATTCCTTATCACTGTAGAAAATGTCCCCAAATGCCTCAAATATATCATTCTAATGTAGGCATAGAGAGTTACTATTTGAATCCAGTCATTAATACCTATTTAGTGTTATAATCGCCACCCACAATTGGATATTTTAAGTAAGGAAGGAGATCAGTATGAATTCTGTCAGCTTTCATCTGTTTCTTTTCCTGAAAGTATTCAATTTTAAATCCAAAGAACCAGTCCTCCCAAAATATTTACAGTGAAAAAGCACCAAAGATTAAATCAATCCAGAATCACCTCATGAGTAACTAGCCTGGTAAGTTAATTACAGGATTCTTTGTTGCTCTTCCTTATTGTGAGTGAGAGTTCTTGATGCAATATTTTTGGTTAATTGAAGATTTTCTTTAAAACTATGCAAGACAGCCAGCAAATAGTGCATTTATGTATGTAATAGAAATGGTTGTAATATATCATTAAGACACTCCAGGGCATGTTTTATTGGTTCATTAATATAGTACATGCCTTAGGTGTATTCAACCACTCGGGCCCTATATTAATGGACCAATAAAATGTACCCGGGAGTGCCTTAATGCTACCCTAATATGGCTAAGTTTAAATTAATTTTTTCAGGTTTATCTTTTTAAAAATCATTTTTTCCCACTTGGGAAGATATATTCCTTTACAGGGGGAAAGAAGTTCATGGTGACAGAATAAGAAGAAGCAGGATAATAAAAATCTTTTTGTTTCATCAGTTTTCTAAAACGGTTCATCCTTTCAGGTGGTTCCATTTCTAATCTCCTGCTTTCCACTCCCAGTGTCTTCTCATATCTGTCAGAGAAATCAATAATCCTGTGGCTAGGTGCAGGAAACTAAGAACTATTTCTTTTTGGAACCGGAAGATCAAGAGCCAGCAAATGTCATGTCTACCTATAAAAGCCCTGTTACCTTTCAGTCTTTCCCTGGGTCAGAACAAATACTCACCTTGCTTTTTCATCTACCTTCTAGCACCTTGTGTCATCCAGGAATGGTGCTTTCCCTCAAAAGGAAAATGATTATTTAATTCTCTTTCTACTTATCATCCACATTACACTTCTTCACTCAGCTTTTTAGAAACCTTGGGTTATTTAGGAATCCACTTGATAACAGAAATTTGAGGAAATCTGAGGAAGATATAGAAGTGTTTAATCCAGCTCCAAACAGAATTAAAATCTTAGCCTTACTGTGGACTTTCTGGGTGGTATTGATCTAAAAGTTTCCAGTTCCTCCTCAGCAAAAGGATAATAACATCTGTTTTACAGGCAGAGCATGGATACTAAATAAGATAATGCATGCTAACACGAGGTATGAAGCCTGACACATAGTGACCACGGGCTGTTAGTGGTAGCTTTTGTTATTATTTAGGATGGATGACAACAGTTAAATAGTTTGAAGAAATCAGGATGGATGACAACAGTTAAATAGTTTGGCCTTCCCCAAAAAATGCTGACAATTTAGCCATCTAGAGTATACAAAGCAGATGCCCTTCTCACCCTCCTCCTTTTTTTTTTCTATTACTACTAAAGCACAAGACCTTTAAGGGGTGCCCAAGAAACAGAGTATAGTTTAAGGCTTCCTAATTTCTTTACCGATGGTTTAATTTTTCTTAAGACTGTAGTTATGTAGAGATGTTTATCATCACTGATGTCATGAATGTCACAAATAAGTCCTACAATGTGGAAAAAATATCATTCTTGACTAGAACTACAGTCTCTGTCCTCAAAGAAGTTATCTTTTAGTTGAATCAACCAAATATATGAAGAAGTTTAAGTGACAATACAAGTTAGATTGTAAGTGCCACAGGAGTTTGTTTATTCAACTTTAAAAACAATGGAAGAGAGTCCTGTGAAAAAGATTAATCAAAAAAGGAGTCAACCAGGATGTAGGATTTACACAGCACTCTTAGTTTAGCGGGGAAAGGGGTAAATTTTGAACCCTCCATGATGAATTCAGAAGAGAGATGTTGAAGTAATTCACATTGATGAATGGAACCAAAAATAATGCAGTTTCACTAGGGAGCATTTGATGAACAATATTTGAGTCAGAGGAATCTTGGAGAGCACTAGTGGGAGATCCATTTGGGGTACTCCACCTTTCAGGTCATAGAAAACTAATATAGGAATTTTGGTCATGGAGATGACGTATATAAAAGCAGTATTTTTAAAATATGGCAATTGCTGCAATGTCTAGCATGAACTGGAGGGAGGGGAAATGGCATCAGAGAGATCAGTTGAAAGAGGATTATCATATTCCATATTTGAAGTCATTGGGTCCTAAATAAGAAAAGCATGAAAGAAAATGGGGGAAAAAATTCAACAAAAGTTGATAAATATTTCATTGCAAATATGCAAGGGAGAGGAAAGAGGAAGCAAACAAGAAAACCAAAAAGCTGAAGAAATGGGAAAATTCTATAACTATTTGCTCCATTTAATTTGCTTAGCATAGAAAAAATAATTTTTCAAAATCTCATTCTATGAGCCTCACATGATCCTAGAATAAAAAAGGCTGAGAAAGTAAAGGCATTATCATTATTTAAAAATACAGTTAAAAAGTAAATAGCTCAAAGAAGGTGGGTCAGTTGCATGTATTGATTTAACGTATGTGGAAAAGTACACTTTGTCTATTATCATAGCACAAAGTAAAACAACTCTGAAAAGCCTCATTTCTTTCATTTTGCCAAAATGATTTTCTTCATCAGAACCCTGACTTCTTTTTTTTTTTTTTTTTTTTAATTTTTTATTGGATTATAGGTTTTGGGGTACATGAGCAGAGCATGCAAGACAGTTGCGTAGGTACACACATGGCAGTGTGCTTTGCTTTTCTTCTCCCCTTCACCCACATTTGGCATTTCTCCCCAGGCTATCCCTCCCCACCTCCCCCTCCCACTGGCCCTCCCCTTTTCCCCCCAATAGACCCCAGTGTTTAGTACTCCCCTTTCTGTGTCCATGTGTTCTCATTTTTCATCACCCACCTATGAGTGAGACCCTGACTTCTTTCCACATACTTAAATAACATTTATTCTTCAAGGCCCAACTTCTTGAAGAAACTTTCCCTGACTGTTCAAACATACATTGAGTAGCCTTCCTTCCTTGAACTCCTGGAGCCCTTGCTGAATTAGTCACTTAATTTAGCATTAAATTATGTATGTCAGCAGCACACAAGTCAGCATAATTACTAGATCTCACATTTCACAAAATTTACCATGCCTACTCCCATTTCTATAGACATTTAGAGGAATTTTATATACACTTAGAAGAATGGCTGCATCATTGCAATCTGTATATCTACTCTCAGGATAATTGCATTACAAAATACTACATCTCCATTTAGTGATTCAAGTAAAATATTAATTCATTAGATCAAAATTGAATCTCATTATACCCATAGATTTAAATGTTTTAGAGACTGTAAGCGTGTCTTTTATTAATTTTTTTATCCAATTTGCATGAGAAAAATTACCATAAATATATGATGATTTATTGTGAAATTTCAACAATTATGTGAACCCTTTAAGAAACTATATATTTTAATTGTCCAAATGTCTGCCCCAACTCAAGGATGGTATGGCCAAGGCTGTCCCAGCAGCAACTGCCAGGGTCATGCCTTCTAAGGAGCTATAGCAGGATGAGATGGAGCACTTGGGTGAGAGGGGTCTGCCCACCAGAGGTTGTATAGGGTAAGAAAATCCAGAAAGTCAAGAGAAGCCAAAATCCATTAAGGAAAGCAATGAGTAAAAGCTGGATAAAATAGTATTTGGAATTAGAAGCCAAAGAGCCAGAGGGAGATCAAAGCTGGGGTACAGTGCCAAAAGTCAGAGCTGGGATTAGTGAGAAGAAACCCAGTGGTAGCCTATCAGTTCTAGTGTTGACAATTTAAGGCAACTGCTTAAAAATAGCTTTGGAACATTTGAAACGAGACTTAATCATACTGAGTTAAAGACATTTTTCTCACTTATCTTGACACTCTTTTGTTTTTGCTTTTATTTCTACTATCTTTTGTACGTTTAGACACAGTCTTGAAGATGATTGTTAATTCCAATCATTTGCCTGAAATTCAAATTTTAAGTTTTAGCATCTCTATATTTTCTCTTTACTGTGTACATTTATTTTTTTCACTCTCTATGCAAATTTTTAAAGCTATACATAACTTATAAACCTTGAAACTGCAATAAATTTTTATGATCACTGCACAGTGATATAGGGAAACAATGTCATTCTTAATTAGAAACAAACAAATAGGAAGACAGGAATTTTATAGATTTCCAGTCACATCACTCAAATTCTATGATCAAATAAGAATCTTTAAGTAGATTTCAGTTTTGTCAATAACTATTCTAGGTAATATTTTAGAATCTAAAATTCTCCCCGTGTTCCCCACCATCTCTGTAATTTAGGCTCAAAAAGTGTGTTTATTACAGATG